AATTATTAAATACGAAAAGTGACTTGATACCTTTCTCACAAACAGAAAAATGTATTTTTGACATGATCCTTAACGCACAAGCTAATATTATCATAAAATAATGATCCCTGGACACTGACAGTGTTACCGTTGGATGCGGCGTAAAATTTCGTACAATTTTCATGTATAATATCGAAATGTCCAAAAAGTGACTTGATCCCCTTTTCACAAAAACCGTCCATATAGTTAATATATAGATAGAGATGATATGACTAGTTACTTATATAGTATTTTCTTATTTTAATTTTAAACATATAATACATATAATATGAAGTTGATGTTGTCCATAATGTTTATTAAATAAATATAAATAAAATAATATATTAATTATATAATCGCAATTTGTAGTACCTATGTAAAAAAAGCAATCTGTATAAACTAAACATGTTCATTGATCATAATATCATATAATGTATATAAATTAAAATTAAATTATGTACAGACCACATTTGTTATATATAATAGTTAATTGAAACAAAACATTTAGATTAATGACAATTTATTATAATTGATAACTTAAATTAATGGTAGGTATAGGTAGCGTAGATAGTGTAACTGACGTATATTATATTCTAGTATACTACCTATGCTTTTATTTTATGAAATATCATAATATGTACATTATATTATCTATATATAAAATGGGCATAGTAAGTTATGCATGTAATAATAAAATAAAATATAATAAATAATATTATGCCCTTAGAATTTTACATATTTGTTTTGCGATGTAATAAAAAAACAATTATAGTCCCATGTAAAATTAATTTGTAGGTATACAAGTTAAATAAATAAATATATTAATAAGTAAATATGATACAAATATTTGGATTACTTAGTTTTAAAATAATAAATAAAAATGGGTGCAAATATTTAATATTAAATATTTTTAATTTTTTAATTTTGATGGATTTAAACCATTAAATTTGGATAAATATTGGCTTTATTATTATGACGCTGAACATTTTTTCTTTCTAAAGAGTCTTCATCAAACTCTTGATTTTTAGTGTAATTTTTGTGTTTATGAGACCTTAGTATTAGATTTTTTTTTTTTTTTTTTTTTTTTATTTGAATAAGGCTTCAACTCCTGAGGTTATTAGCCTGTAGTAAATACAAAATACAAAATAGTAGTCATAGAGTATTGATCTTAAAGCTATGGGGACACATTATGTTTAACAATAGAGGGAATTTGTAGGATAAATTATGTACATTCAATTATTTTTCTAAATTAATTTTGCTAAGCCAATGTTTTTGAAAAAATTGTATATGTTTTTGGAGTTATCTTCGCCAAGTGCTTGTTGCATTGTTAATGGGTTCCCGAGGATTTGTCTGGAGTTGGTGAACTTGGGGCATTCTAATGTGATGTGTTTGATTGTCAGCGCTTTGTCACAGAGTTCGCAGGTCGGGCTGTCTTCTTTTGTTATGAGGTGCAGGTGTGTTAGGCGGGAGTGTCCAATCCGGGTTCTTGTGGTAACTACTTCTTCGTGTCTGGATGAGGATGGGGGAGTTTTCCATGGGTCGATTGATGGTTTAATTTCTTTTAGTTTATTTGTGTTTGGAGTCTTCTCCCACGAGTCTTGCCAGTGACTTTTAGTTAGATTATTTATTTTTGAGAGTGCGTCTTGAAATGTTATTTTATTTATTAGTACCGAGCTGGGTGATGCTATTGCTTCGTTGGCTGCCTTATCAGCTAGTTCGTTGCCACTTATGCCAGTGTGGGAGGGGACCCATAGAAATTCGATTTTTTTTGTTGTGTTTGATAACTTTTCTTGGATGGATTGAATTATTTCATTTTTGGGGTAAGGATTTTCGAGGGCTAGGAGTGCACTAAGGGAGTCACTAATTATAAGTATTTCTTCAGACACTAAGGTCGTCGCGTGTGAGATTGCATTTTGGATGGCTTGACTTTCAGCGGAAAAAATGCTGGTTTCGTGAGGAGATTTGAACATTGAAGTTTTGTTATTTTCTATGAATGCGAAACCGGTTCCATTTGGGGATTTTGAGGCGTCCGTAAAGATTTTTATGTGGTGAGGGTATTTTCCTTCTATTATTTCTAAAAAGTTATTTATTATAGTTGAGGTTGAGGAGATTTTTTTGTCGAATTCGAGTAGTTGGGTATTGAGCTTAATATTCCACATCCACGGAGGGGAAGACGGGAAGATAATTTTGTTAAACATAATTGGTTTGAACTTCATTATATCTGCTATGTTCTTATACGTGTCATCGATAGTGCGAGGTATGTTTGGACTGTTATGTATATTCAGAGGTCTTCTGGTTGGAACTTGAGTTTTGTTATTTGAGAATTTAGTTACAAATTTTAGTGTTTCTTTAATCCTTCTAAATTCAAGTGGGAGTTCTCCAGCGTTGCACATAATACTTGCAGTTGGGCTTGTGCGGAAGGCACCTGTGGCTAGTCTAATGCCTTGATTGTGTATAGGATTTAGTATATTGAGAATTTTGCTTCTGGCCGTATTATAAATGACTGCACCATATTCCATTTTTGCTAATATAATTGCTTTATATATAGTAATGAGGCTATTTTTTTCAGAGCCCCAGGAGTGGTGAGATAAGGTTTTCATAATTTTCATGTTGTTGTTTGCATTTATTTTTAGGTTTTTTAGGTGTGGGTTCCAATTTAATTTGTGATCGAAAGTCATACCTAGTATTTTTATTTTATCTGTATATGATATAATGGTGTTATTTAAATTGATGTGGAATAAGTTTTCATTACGTTTTTTGTGGAAGATGATACTTTGTGTTTTAGATGGTGAGAAATTGAAGCCTGTTGTGGTTGACCACTTGAGTAGTTCATCCAGAGCTTGCTGGATGAGTTCGACTGTTGTTTTTATGTTCACGCCACTACAGAAAATGTTACAATCATCTGCAAAGATGGTATACTTTATAGGGGGAAGGATATTGTCAAATATATTATTTATTGCGATTAAGAACAGGGTGACACTGATGACTGAGCCCTGGGGGACTCCATTTTCAGTGGTATGAGTTGTTGATAGTGTTTCACCAATTTTTGTTTGGAATGATCTGTCCTGTAAGAAGTTAGTGATGAATGTAATCATGTTTCCTGAGATGTTCCATTCGCGTAGGATAAAGATAACTCTTTGTCTCCAAACCATATCATATGCTTTTGTTAAGTCAAGCGCTACTAGGATTGTGTGTTGGTTTACTTTGGCTGCGTTACATATATGGGAGTGAATATTGGATAAAGTGTTGAGTGTGGAGTGATTTTTCCGGAATCCACATTGCTCTTTATTGAATTTTTCGGAGACTTCTAAGTGCCATATGAGTCTTGAGTTAATTATTTTTTCGAGTACTTTACATAGTGTGCTTATTAGAGAGATGGGACGATAGTTTTCTGCGTGAAATTTGTTTTTATCTGGTTTGGGTATTGGGATAATAATTGCTTTGCGCCATTGGTTGGGGAAAAATCCGTATTCCCATATTGAGTTGTAGACTAGAAGAAGTTTTTGTAGGGCGAAGGAGGACAGATGATGTAGGAATATGTAAGGGATGTCGTCAGGGCCTGGGCTTTTGCTTTTACACTTCAGGAGTGCCTGGTTGAGTTCATCCATACTGATAGTGGAGTTGTATGAGTCTTCACTGTGCTGTGGTAGGCTGTCTGTGACAGATGAGTTCTCAACTTCATTTTTGTGTTTTAGGAAGGATTTCGTATGGTTTTGGTTACTGTTGTTTGTCTGGAATAGATCGGCGAAGGCTTGGGCGATGTCCGGGCTAGTTTTGATAAATTCATCTTTGTATTTAATGATATTGGGTGTCGAGTTGAACTTGTTTCCTTTAAATGTTTTAATTTTGTTCCACATAGTGGTAGCAGAGGTTTGTTGGTTGATTGTGGAGACGAATGCTTTCCAGGCTACACGTTTGCTATTTTTGGTAATAAACCTTGATTCTGCCCTAGCTTTTTTAAGTGCTATGTGGTCTGACAAAGATTTAGTTTTTTTAAAACGGTTTAATTTTTTTTTGTAATTTTCAATAGCTTCTTTGCATTCGGGGTTCCACCATGGTGCTATCTTGGTGGCTTTGGAACGGGAAGATTTTCCTATGGATATATTTGCCGCGTTTACAATAATTTCGGTGAGGGAAGCCACTATGGAGTCAATTTTGATTTGGTCTATGTCTAATTCATCAGCATTCTTTTTGGCCCAGTCTTGATTTTCTAAGTGGTGATCGACCAGCTCAGTGAAGAGATTCCAGTTGGCTTTGGTAAGTTTCCATCGCTTAATTGGTTCATCGGGTGTAGATTGGTTGAAAATGTTAAGGTGGATTGGCCAATGGTCGCTTCCGTTATATTCAGTTAGTACTTTCCAGTCTAATTCAGGGGCGAGATTAGTGCTGGATATTGTTAGATCTATGGCTGATAAAGAACTGTTTGTGAAATTGTGTCTTGTTGGGTCACCATTATTTAGAAGTATTAGTGAAGGATTTTCTAATAATTTTTCTATCGTTTTCCCACGGCTGTCAGTGTGTGATGATCCCCATAAGATGTTTCTGCTGTTGAAGTCGCCCAGGATTAAGAAAGGTTTGGGGAGTTGTGTTATTATTGAATTTAGATCAAGGAGAGAAAGGGGGGTGCTGTCAGGGAAATAAATATTGCATATAGTTATTGTTGTCTTGAGAATGACCTGAACTGCTATTACTTCCAAATTTGAGTTGACATATATTTCCTTGCTGTTAATATTGTTTTTGATGTATGTTGCAACTCCGCCACTGGCTCTGAGTGCGTCGGGTCGATTTTTTTTATATCCGGAGTATCCGTTAATGTTTCCTATGTGTAGGTTTTTGAAATTAGTTTCTTGTAGGCAAATAATGTCAGGATTTTGTTCATATTTAATACGGTTTATATCGGTGTTGTGTTTGTAAAATCCGTTGCAATTCCATTGAATTAGTGAACTCATGTTTAGGTAATGGGGATAGATTTTTGAGTAGTTTTATTGATTAGATTGATTCAAGTTGGAAGTCTGCGGAGTTGACTGTACGGAGGGAGGTATAGATTGGAATAGAATTGTAGATAGTTTAGATATTTTGTTTTTTATTTTTTTTTCCACCATTAATGGTAATATTTTTTCGGCCATGTCAAGGACTTCAGAGGCATTGGATCCAACGTTAATACATAGGTCATGTATGTTTAAATTTTTGTTTGTGAAGTTTTCCAGGATATATTTGAAAGAGATTAGATTGAGGGGGGAGTCTTTGTTCTGCAGGATAGCCGTTGCTGGCTCAAGAAGGTTATCTAGTATTTCGGAGGTTCTTGTTGAGGAGTTTGATCTTGATCTGGCTTTAATTTTTTTTGTGGTTTGGTTTTTAGACTTTGTGTTTTTGGCAGCAGGTGTACCCTTACCTAACTCAATTATGTCGTTGGTCAGCGTGGGGGAGGGAGGCGCTGACGGGCATGTGGATTCAGGGGCTGGCCTTTTGAAAGTAGCTTGGAGTGGTTGTGAGTCCGATATATCATCGTAGTTATCGTCTTTGGTGATTTGTGTATTATTTGTGTTGGATATTTCGCTAGTGGTTTCTAGAGGTAGATCAGGAGTCACGTCCATACTAATGGTTTTTTCGACGATTTGATGGGATGAGGTATTAGTGGATGTTTGTACATTTGAGGTGTCCATATTTTCTGTCAGAGAGGGAGTTGTGTATATCATCTTACAAGAGGATGATACATGGCCGGGTTTTTTGCATAAAAAGCAGGTTACGATGTCATCGGTAATGAATATACGGTATGAGGTGTTGTCGAGGACAATAACGATCGATCCAGGTAGTTTTGGGAAATCTTCAGGACTGATGTACAGTTGTCTGCGGAAGCTAGTGATATGTGCGAATTTATCGAGCGGGAAACCAGCTTTAAGCGCCGTGATTGGAGATGTTATTTTAATACCGAATGTCTCTATCGCCTCGATGATAGATTTATTCGGAATAGCGGGATATACGTTCGATAAAATAATGCGTTTGGCCGGGTTAATTAACTTGCGTATCGGTATCTCAATATTATCAACGAATATGGCCGAGTGCTTGTTAATGATGTCATTAGTAATCTGTTGGTTTTTGAAGAAAACGCAGAACCTATTATTAGATATGCGCGAAGCGGAGATAATGTTGGTTGCGTCAGTAATTTTACTGAGCGCTATAATGTATTGTATTTGTTTAATTCCGTCGATTGAGTTCATAACGATAGCTTGATTCATTTTTGGTATGAGAGAGTTGGCTGTTGTTTCAGCGAAACTTTTAACTTGGGAGCTGTCTATTGGATGATTTGAAGTGGGTTGAATGTTGTTGGTATCATTGATGATGAGGTTGTCTTGAGTTGAGGTGGTTTTGGGTGAGGGGATAGGTGTTGAGTGTTTGGACGCTAATAATTTATCATTAAGAGATAGTTTATTTGGGTTTGAATTTAAGTTGCCCGATGTTGTAGGCATATTGGTGGTGATTGCGAATGAACGCAATTTAATATCGTAATTGATTTTAATTAGGAAGATAGCTAATCGCGCTTAATAAAATCATATTACCAGTTTATCGTAGAGCAGAGTAGGAACACTTCTAACGGTAGATAAAAATGCGGTTGCGATAAGGCTACACACGTGTTGCTCGGTCGGGAGTCAAACACGAACTGTTAGTATTAGATTATGAGTAATGCTAGAAAAAAATCCCGCTAGAAGCTTTGTACTCCACCCAAAGGTTTGATATAAAAAAGTAATATTAATACCTGTGTCAACAAGTGTATCTACACCAAACGACAAAAATATTGAAGAAAATGCACAAAATTAAAAAAAAAAAGCGGGTAAGTGGATGTCGCTCTGCTGTACAGTAGGTTACTAGGGGTCACTGTATAATGGAAGGTATTAATTTTGAATTCAATGATATAATATCATTGTATAAGAAAAACGATTCTGAGCGGAGACGGTATGTCAGTCTGGGTAAAAGAACAGAAATATTAAACATTTCGTCCAAATTTGAATATAAAATGTCTGTAAAAAAAAACTGTGTTTATGTATTTTTTAGATTTTTTGGTTACAGTATGAACTATTTATGAGAATCTTTGTTTTAAATTTCCAATCCTTAATTATAATAACTGAACATTTTATAATTTTTTAATTACAGTGATTGATAATTTTCGATATTTTGATAAATTTTGTCCAAATTTGAACTTCAAATGCCTATAAAAAAAATTGTGCAAATGTATTTTTAATATTTTGCGACTGCTATTATAACAATATATCAGGAGCCTCGTATTAAATTTTCAAGCTTTTTCGCCCAACAAATACATTTTTATTGATATTTATAGAAAAAAAAAAATAAAAAAAAATATTGAAAACTGACAATGTCTGTAAACAGCTCAAAAATAGTCAAATTAATTTGAAAATTGAATGGTGTATAGAAAATGCTAATATAAACATTCAGTAAAATTTTCAAATATATACAGTCATTCGTTTTTTAATTACAACAAAATAAGAAAATCGTTACATGAGAAATCCAACGAATATCAAATGTTGTAAAAATATGAATTTCAAACTGTCATAAAAATTTAATTTGACTTTCTTCTAGAAATTTTTTTTTTAATAAAGGTGGAAAAACTTATGAGGAATCTTGTATTACATTTTACAATCTTAGAATTAAAGAGAACATTTTTTATGAATTTCTAACTTAAAATAATTTGCAATTTTTTGTCATTTTTATGTATTTTGTCAATATTTGAACTTTAAATGCTTATAAAAAAAATTGTGACTTGGGATTCTTAATTTTTATAGGTATATAATTATTACGGATAGTTAATTTTCTCAGTTCTATTATGGACTGATCTAAAATATTTGCCTCTCCCCTTCTTAAAAACTGAAATTACGCCACTATATTATACAAACCTTTCTACATGCATAACTTCCACGAGACTCCATAAAAATAACAATTTTTTTTCAAATTTTACATAGGTTGGTACATTTTATAGTCGAGTATAGCACTGTAATTATTACATTATAACCTATAAACTACGTACTTCATACTGATGACTTTAGTATAAAATACAATACTAAGTCATCTGGCTATATCAATGAATGAGTATAGGACATTATATATTTATAAAATGGGGCGACTTTTATAATGACATGTGACTTTGATAATCACGTTTTATTTTGATTAAACGGTTAATAGTGGCTACACTGTATGATATAAATAAGTTTTTATAATTTGTGATTAAATACCAAACACCGGTTAACATTTTAACAGTGATAAGAAATTGTTTGATAAAATAGTCTGTTCGTTATGTTCAAATAAAAATTACATCTTTTCTAAAATAAAAAAAACGTCAGAAACAAATTGTAAGCGCAAAGTAAGTAAACACATATTTTATTAATTTGTACTCTATTTATATAATTTGAAGACATTGTCATTACGTTATTTTCACTGAGTTTTTTACGTTTGATTAATTATTGTGTATGCATGATAAAGGATTATATGACGGGGTGAAATTGATAATCTGTTGGGGCGAGTTTGATAATTTATATAATGCGTTTTAAAATGTAATAAAACTTGTTTATAGTGGCTCGGGCTTTTAAAAAACAGTTGGGCAGTAGATCCTATAGAAATCAGCCAGATGATGTTATTGAAGAAGCACTAAACAAAATAGTGAATGGGGAAATGTCAATTTTAGCTGCAAGTAAGCAATATCATATACCATATGGGACCGTTTACAATAGATATCATGGTTTACATGGTAATAAACCAGGAGGCCAACCAATACTGAATGAAGCAGAGGAGAAATTATTATTGGCTGCTGTCACCAAATGTGGTGATTGGGGTTTTCCTCTAACCTTGATGGACATGAGGTAGGTACCAATTAAATTAAATTAAAATATAATAGCTATTACACTGTATTATATTATAATAGGTACCTACCTACTTTTTTCAGATTAGTTGCAAAGTCATTTTTAGACAAAAAGGGTATTGTCGTCCAGAAATTTAAGGACAATTTACCAGGTGATGACTGGGCCAGGAGTATTCTAAAAAGACACCAGATATTGGGTAAACGAATAGCGACGAATATATCAAGGAGCCGTGCAGAAGTATCACCTACAACAATCAAGACAACGCATATTTTGACAATTTGGTGACTGTCCTGAAAGATATACCTGCTGACAACATATTTAACTACGATGAATCGAACCTACAGGATGACCCAGGTAAAAAAAAGTTTCTATTTCGACGTGGTATAAAATACCCGGTTCGAGTGCAAAATCATACAAAAAGTGCAACTACAATTATGGTGTGTGGGTCAGCTGGTGTTCTTCTTCCACCATATATTGTTTTTAAATCAGGTAGTTTGTGGGAATCTTGGACTATTGGTGGGCCACAAGGTTCCCCATGCTGTTCTGATCCATGCTGTTCAAGGGGATCCAGATATAATTGTACGTCTCATGGATGGATGGACGCAAATACATTTAAAGACTGGTTTTTTACAACATTTCTACCTCACGCAAAACGTTTAACTGGACGTAAAGTTCTGATTGGTGATAATTTAGCTTCACATTTTAATGCAGATGTTATAAAGGAGTGTGAAGATTCTCAAATTGATTTTGTGTGCTTACCTAAAAATTCTTCACATTTGACACAGCCGTTAGACGTTTGTTTTTTTCGCCCTTTAAAAGAAGCATGGCGTTACTGTTTGAATAAATGGAAAAACAATAATACAAGACTTAATGGTATTCCTAAATCTACATTTCCTTCCCTTGTTCGTGAATGTCTGGGGCGTATTAATGATGTAGGATGTATTTCAGATAATTTAAAATCAGGGTTTCGAGCCACTGGAATATATCCAACAGATAGACATGTCATTTTACAAAAATTACCTAGAGAGACAAATCCAAATGATATTAATGACACAGTAACAGATTATTTAAAAGGCCAACGATTTGAAAAAACTGATAAAATTATGAGAAGAAAAAAAATTAATGTGGCTCCTGAGTCCTGGGCAAAGTGTAACTTCAGCTCTCCTAGGACGCACTGATAGTGATGATGATTTGCCAGATGATGTTATTCAATATGCAGATTCAGAATCAGAAAATGAAATAGTAGATACTGTACCGGAATATGAAAAACCAAATGATACAAATTTAAAAATTGGAAGCTTTTTGTTGGTAAATATATTATCAGGATCAAGAAAAAAATCTAAATATGTGTATGTAGCAATTATACAAGACATAAGTGAAAACAATTATACTGTAAATGGATTAAAGTCACTTGATAACACTAAACAAACATTTAAATTACAAATAAATGATGTATTTTCTGTTGGAATAGAGGATATAATAGCTGTTCTCAAAATGCCAAGTCTTACTGAAAAACATCATTACAAATTTTCTCAGCCTCTAACTGATGTTAGAGAATTTTAATAACCAACTTGTTTTGTTTCCATTAATTACCTACTATTATAATTAATTAATTGTTAAAAATAATTTAAAAGTATTACCTATGTTATGTTATTCCTAATTTATAATGTAACTTTAAAGACTGAGTTAGTCTAATTAAAATTTATAAATATTATGTTACCATGTTATACCTACTTTAAAATGTAAATTTAAAGACTGAGTTAGTCTACCTACTTAAAATTAAAAAATATTTTGTTATGCTATATAGTATATACCTACTTTACAATGTAAATTTAAATACTGAGTCCACTAAAAGTTTAAATATATTATGTTATGTTATACTTTAAAATGTGTTCTGTATTTAAAAAACACCTACATTATTATTATTACTTACCATATTCCTGTATCAAAGTAACCCCACAATACATTTTAAATTATATCTCGAAAACTATTTGACCAAATTTTAAATGGTTCGAGATTGATAGGTTTCATAACCTTTCCATTAATTTAAAATTAAAAAAAATAGTGGTTTCAAAGTCACCCCGAAGGCGGTATAACTTTGATAGCTATTTTCAAAATATAATTTAAAAAAAACCAATAGTTGAAAAAATTAAATTACAATTTGAGGAAATTGGTAAAAACAAACTTGAGGCAACAACACTATTTTTAGATCTGTGACATAAGTATTAAAGAAATTACAAGTAAAACAACAATAAAAAATTAACAAAATTTATCAAAGTCACCCCGATCTAATTGTTTTTCTCAGTTCTATTATGGACCGATCTAAAATATTTGCCTCTCCCCTTCTCAAAAACTGAAATTACGCCACTATATTATACAAACCTTTCTACATGCATAACTTCCACGAGACTCCATAAAAATAACAATTTTTTTTCAAATTTTAGTTAGGTTGGTACATTTTATAGTCGAGTATAGCACTGTAATTATTACATTATAATTTATAACCTTTAAACTACGTACTTCATACTGATGACTTTAGTATATAATACAATACCTACTAAGTCATCTGGCTATATCAATGAATGAGTATAGGACATTATATATTTATATAGTTAGACTACTTAGACTAAAATACACGCGTACATCTTCGAATACAATATACAATAATAAATAGCGTAATACATAATTTAATAACTGGCTCCTAATAGTAGTTAAAAAATATTAATTATACAAAGTCACACTTTTTTTTACAAGCATTTAAAGTTCGGATTTTGGCAACATAGAAAATACATAAAAATGAAGAAAATGTGCAAATTATTTTATGTTAGATATTCATAACAATTTTTCTTTTTAAATCTAAGATTTGGAAATTTTAATCGTAAGTTTTTTTAATTTTATGAAAAAAATATCTACCGGACATTCAAATTGAATTTTTATGAGTGTTTGAAGTTCAAATTTTTACAACATAGGATAATATTGATATTATTCACACAACCATACATAATTTATTATTTATCTCATTTTTATTAATTAAAAACTGTATATAATTTTAACAATTTACTCTATATTTTATCAATTCCTATAACACTTTCACTCTTTCTGAGCTGTTTACGGACATTTTCGATTTTTTTAGTTTTTTCTATTGTTAATTTGTTATTAAATTTGCTGGATCGAGAAGCGTGAAAAATTAATACAAGGCGTTTGATATATTGTTACAATAGCAATTGAAAAATATTAATAATACATGGTCGATTTTTTATTAAAGTTCATTCAACATTTGAATTTTGAATAAATTTGTCAAATTTAAAAATTTAAAATTATTTTGTAGTTAAAAATATAATTATCATAGGCTGACTCCTGTCTTAGCTCAGATTCGTTTTTCTTCAGCAATGATATTATAATATCATCGAATTTTAATTTAACACAATTCAGTATAATGGCTCACTTGTAATAACATACTGTACCAGGTCCGTCCCTATGGTAGGGCCAGCGGGGCCCTCGCCCTGGGCCCCGCGCCTTCGCCAGTTGGACAGGCCCCGCTTTTGTAGATACCATAAAAAAGCCAAGTTAATGAGAAAAAAAAATATTATTTATATATTTTTTAATTTTTATATCCTTAATTGCTGTAATTTTTACCACCTATATCTACGGCTATACCTACTTATATTAATTGACATCAGTCGTCAAATAAATGTATTGCGTTTAAAACGAGTTAATATGATTAAAATTCAACTTTCAAAGTTGAAAATGATGAAAATCTTCAAAGCGCTCTGCCCCCCCCCCCCAAAAAAAAAACAACAACTTAGCTATAATATTTATAGAAAAAAAATGTATTTATTTTACAATGATGTGTGTTTTTTTTCTGTTTTGTATGGCCCTTTTTGGGTAGTAAAAGTGCTCCGATTTCTTAGATCAGCATCTTTACTGATAGAAAAGTGAAACTATAGTTGGTATTTTTGGGGAGTCAAAATTAAAAATTTCTAGTAGTTTTAGAAAGCGTTGAGAAAAACAAAAAAATAGGTGACTTTTATACAAAATCAATTTTTGAAAAATCGATTTTATTTTTTTGGTGTATCTCCAAAATTCATAACTGTAGAACCTCGAAATTTTCAACAAATATTTATATTAGAATTCTCCATAAAACATTTTCTCAATATTTTGACTATTTTTGAGCTAGTTATAGGCTTGAGCAATTGAGAAATTTTTCCATTTTTCTAAATTTTTTTAAAATTATCCTCGATAAAATCTTTTTCATTTAATAAAAAATCTTGAAAATGTAATGATAGGTTCCTTATAATTTTTATTAATGGAAGTTTTAAAAATACATAGGCTCAATTATTTGTTATATTCTTATAAAGTTCCAATTTTGACAAAATTCATAAAAGTTTTTTTTTCATCCCTAACTTGAGACATTTTAATAGAAGGTTTCCAACAAGTTTTTGTAATTCTATCAAACTAAAAAAGTTCCCCAGGAAGCCACTTGTGGCTTCAATATGATAAAATCACAATTATTTACATTTAACATTATCATCCCCAATTGAATTTGTGCATAGTACGCATGTTTATTTTTAGGTTAGCTCAGAATATTTTTTCGTTTACAATAATTTATCAATGTAATTTAAATATAACACATCCATTACAACGACATGCTTGACACCCACTGTACAACAGAGCGGTACCCACTTGTCTACCTTTTTTTATATTGTATTAGGTGCCTACTATATTTATAGACTTATTAATTTATCAATATTATTATATTAAGTATGAATATTTTACGTGTTTACTGTTTTATTATTAATTAATTTACTTATTCATAGTATTGTAAGTACAAGGTACTATATTTTTAAGTATATTTGCGCGTAGCCCCCTTATACCTAGGTAGGTGTATATCATAATTCATAATATTAAATATTGAAATTAATGCAACTGCCAACTGACGATAATGACATTTTAGGCCCCACAAATTTACTCTGCCCCGGGCCCTGCAAATCGTCCGGACGGCCCTGTACTGTACAGTAGAGCGACACCCACTTGCCTACCTTTTTTACTTGTACAGTTATGCTAATTTTTTTATTTATTTTTATTTTTTATATGAAATATACAATCTGTACCCTGAGGCACAATAAGAATATGGGCTAAATTACAATGACATGAGTGAAGTGTTTTGCTTCTTCTTGGACGGTTTTTATTAGGTACGCTAATTTAAATTTAAAAAAAATCTTGTATATCAAATCGCCAATTTGATAGAAGAATTGTCTATAATTGAAAAAAAAATTGTTTAAATCGTACGCTTTCCAGCTATTTGGTGACCATTTTATTATAATATTATAATATTATGTAGTTCCATTTTGCGTAAACTTCGCTAGTAATAAGAATACGAATTATAACATCGAAAAATAAAATAATATTATTCATTGACAGAATTATTATTTTCGTATTGACGTATTTGGCTATTTATAATCCGTACGCGGCTGCGATAAATAACCAGTTTTGACCTATGGTGCGGTACAGCTGCATATGTACGCGGGGTAGTGGTAGAAGTACTATTTCAGAATGCTGCCGCTGTAGTCGTTCTAGCAGCACATGACGACGGCAAATTCGTATTTTTTTTTGCCCAAAACATGGTTTTGCACTTCCAATAGTTCTCAGGCCTCGTTGATCGTAGAAACATGATTTTGGTATCAAAATAATCACGAGAAGTTGTACTAAATATTCTTGGAACAGATTTTCGATATCTAATTTTGTCGATTTTATATAATTTTTAAAAAAAATGAAAATATAGTACAAACTTCAGATACAAATAAAATTGGTTAGAAAAAAAATTTTAAAATTTTGTTCCAAGAATATTTAGTACAACTTCTCTTGATTATTTTGATACCAAAACCATGTTTCTACGATTAACGAGGCCTGAGAACTATTGGAAGTACGAAAGCATGTTTTTCGGTCGATTTTTTTCTACTGTGACGGCCTCTTAATATCTACCATAGATATGAATATAATATGTCTTAAACCTAGACTGACATACCGTCTCCGCTCAGAATCGTTTTTCGTATACAATAATATTATACCATTGAATTCAAATTTAATACCATTCATTATACAGTGACCCACTTGTAACCTACTGTACAGCAGAGCCCTTTTTTATATTGGTCCAAATGTCTTCCTTTTGACGCGCCTTCACCTTGTCCAGTTGTAGTTACATTAGCTCTTAAATATTTTTGATATGAATCCCTCAAATTTTTCCACTTAATTTTTAATGTCCCTCCTATCATTACCATAATAATTGATTCAAAGGTTATGTAAAAACTATTAGAATTATATGCACATTTCAAAAAAAGGTCACTGTAAATTGTAATGGATAGTGTTAACTTTGAATTCAATGACAATAATAATATGGCGTATAGCCGACTCACGACAACCGTACCTATGTGTGATGACCTGGCACTGGCTTCAGAGTGGTTGTTGAGATGTCGTTGAAGATGAGAAATACCTTCCAGGAATTGGTAATGACGATGATGGTGAAGGTGAAGAAAGAACACTGGCGTACGTATAGAACAGTACTATCACTTCACTCAAATGCGTAAAGGCGCGAATACAAGACTTGTATATATATTATGTCGCTCATATGCGTACAAGGCGCGAGCACAAGACTTGTGTTGTGATATAAAGTGTCAATACTTTGTCGTAGTATAGAGGCACATATATTAAATGTACTACGGATCTATCCCGTATGAGGCCGTCACGACGATATGCGACAGTGTGGCTGTCCGTGCGACGACTAGTGTCTCAATACGATCTACATTTATTTTGTTATGTAACGCCGCCGTGCATATGACTTTACGCAACAATTATAATACATATATATATTACATATAATATATATTATACATATCTACTAATATTATTGATACATTTTAGATTTTTTGCAACTGGTGATTCTTATTCAACCATAGGTCACAGTTTTCGTGTTGGTTTCTCTACTGTGAGTAAAATAGTTGTGGAAGTTAGTGAAGCTATTATCAAAATAATGGGTCCAATGTTTTTACCAGAACCTACAACGGCTATTTTTGAAGAATCATCGAGTGGTTTTTATGAAAAATGCCAATTTCCTAACTGCATAGGAAGTATTGACGGGAAACACGTAACTATTAAATGCCCAGACAACAGTGGATCACGAAATTTTTGTTACCTAAAAAAGTTTTCGCTTGTGTTAATGGCAATAGTTGATCCAGATTATAAACTTATTTGTGTCGATGTTGGTGGTTATGGCCAAAATTCAGATGGTGGAATTTTAGAAGAATCGGCAATGGGTAAACGTTTGGAAGCTGGGACATTAAATGTGCCAAAAGGTGTACCATTATGTGATAATGATTACCTATCATCGTTCCACTCAGAATCTAAAAAATAATTACGAAAGAGTTACTATAATTAAAAATAATTATAAAAAAATGTAATAGTACTTGTATTATAATATTAGTATAAAATATCTTACCGGATTTTTCGTGTTTCCGTTTGTTTTTATTATATTAAGACGTGGATTCAACGTTGAGCTCGAACTGTGAAAAAGCACTAACGATGACACTATGAACTGCAGCCCGCAGCTGCAGTGATATTTATATTATATAATATAATAATAATTAATAGTATTGTCGGATATATATACGATAATTGTGGGAGCCGGGGGTGCTCAACAGTATTACACGGTCCCGACTGTCTAAGTTATGTGATGATTTTCGTATTTTTCCCGTAATTACTTATTGATTAATGTATAATAACTAAATAGGAAGACTTGGTAAATTAACTCTTTGTGTTTTATTACAATTCAATATACTAGATAAGTTTTTTTTATAATAATAATGTGGTTTAATTTACAAGTGCATATACACAAAATAATAATTGATAGTGTGCCTGGTGTACAATATATTTAAAATTTAACAATAAATTATAACAAGACTATAGTATGGGCTGATGTACAACAGTTTATGAATCATAATAAAATATATTGTAAACTTGCCATTTAATAAATTATAATAATAATATGGCTAAGTTACAGTTTTGTAATAACAATAAAAATAATAATTTTGGTACTCACAGATGTTTGTGGAGTGTAGACTGGCCAGTGTACTTCCTGTTACAATAATATTTTATACAACAGTACCAAATACATAAACAATTTAAATAATAATTAAAATATAAATCACATAGAATAATAATAATAATTCGACTATTTGAACCGCGATGTTACATTGCTCGCTATAATGCAGAGCGCACTATTTAAACAAAAAAAAACGGAATTAATACGACTTGGAGGTATATAAAGAGACGCACAGGAAGAGGCAACGCGTATGTTGAGACGTTTTGTACGTACTGACTATTATTTTATGTGTGTGTGTGTGTGAGGTACGGTATTCATTATCATATTATAATTTATATATTATGTAATATACCTCGCGCATTTGGTTTTTGTCACTGCGATAGTAGGCCTTATCTGATACCTATTGCTGGCTATTATAATAATATTTTTGTTGACGATATGCGGAGTATAGGCGTCAACATCCTCCCCCGGTTGAAAATTATTGGTTTTCAACAGTCATGTCATCTTCTTGTATAGGAAGGCGACATAGTTTGACAGTAGGCCTACGCATTTCTGTCCCATTTGCTGTTCGCACTGTAGCGACTCGTATGACCTTGTCCTTCCCTGGGTGTAGATCGGTTATTCTCCCTAGCTTCCATCTTGTAGGATGTGTGCTTTCTCCTTTCACTATCACTACATCATCGATTTCCAAGGGTCTAATATTTGTAACCCATTTCCCACGAACCTGACGCTGAGGCAGATATTCCTTTTCCCATCGTTTCCAAAAACTCTGCATGAGATACTGTACATACTTCCACCGGCGTAATCCATTTGGAGATCTCTCAGTCAGATCTACTTTCGGTGCTAGGAATAAAGGTGCACCGATTAGAAAATGTGCTGGAGTCAGCACTTCCAAATCTGATGGATTACTACTGAGTGGTGTTATCGGTCTTGAATTTATACATGCCTCCACTTGACATAATAGGGTATTAAGTTCTCCCAAGGTGAGACGTGTTTCCTTCATCATACGTGTTAAATTAAATTTTGTAATCTTAACAGCACTTTCCCACAGCCCTCCGAAGTGTGGAGCAGCTGGTGGATTAAATTTCCACTCAATACCTTCATTCGCCGTGTAAACCAGTTGATGGAAAAGAATTGCGAAGTGCGGTTACTTTAAATTCTGTACATTGGGACTTCTGGCGTAAACCTTTAATTGTTTTACAAAGTATGCAGTATGAGACAAAAACCAGAAAAGTAATTCCTTCTGTTGTAAACTGGATTAAAACTATTAAAGGATTACAAGTACTTTGCAAAAGGCTTCTTAATGATGGGTTCAACTAAGTACTGTTAAGAAATTTTAACCAGGATCCAATTGAAAACTTTTTTGGTTCGATCAGGAGCCATGGTGTACGTTATATTAAACCAACATATGCCAATTTTATAACATCATTCAAGGCACTAGTTATTAATAATTTTACTTCAAATCATTAATTTGGGTCCAACTGTGAAAATGACGACTGTGATGGAGCATTAGACAACTTGAAGGAATTTATATTCAATGACATTCCGATTGATGACACTAATTTAGTGGACGAAAAATTAAATTCAATTACTTTGAAGACTCCAGTTCAAGAATTTCAACCTTATCATATACTGAATTCAAATAGCAGAGCCTATGTTACTGGTTGGGTCATCAAAAAAATTAAAAAGCTCACAAAAAATTGTAATTGTTGCATGAAAATTATAACATCTGACCAAATATTAAAAGAACATAATAATTATGTTAGATAGAAACTCGTCAATATGACAACTGCAACTTGAGTTATCCAAATGATGTGGCAATGGATATTTTTAATTATTTAATAGAAATGTTTAATCTCAATTTTGATAAATTTGTATACAAGTGTAATTCTAAGGCTTCTTATAACTATTTAATTTCATATTTTATAAAATCTAATTATTTCACTTGTCCAGAACATGATTTATTTAATATATTTTTGAAGACTGCTAATAATCTTCTAATTTATTCTTATATAACTCACATAAATAGAATACTGACTAAAGGTGAAAAATCTGTAACATCTGATCAGATAAAAAATAATGTTATGGTGTACCACGATAAATATGCAAAAAAGAAAAATGTATTATTAAGACAAAATGTAAATTATGTATAGTTAATTTTGTAAAAAAAAAAATATTTGTTTTATATGTATAGTTAATTATGTAAATAATAATTTTTAATATTGTAAAAAAAAATATTTTGTTTTATACACCATATTTAATTATGTTAATAATATTTTTTAATATTGTAAAAAAACATTTGTTTTATATGCTATTTTAAAATATTTAAATAAAAATATAATTTTACCTTGAAAAGAATTTTTTTTTTATGGAAAAACTTGAAATATAAGTCTTGAGATGTTCAAAAATTCGTTTGTTTATACCAGCTTCAAATGGAATCTTCTTTAACAAATCTAAAATGCATTTCCATGAAGGCAATGCAAACATTTTTGAAAGTACTTTGTATGCTTTTCCACTTTGTTTGTAAAGAGATAAAGCAAATACTTTGTCATCGGTAGTAAAACGTCGACCACGAGGTTTTTAAGCTTGCATACGTATTTGTGATTGAATAAAATTTTGTGTAAATGTATTTAATTTACCCATTGATTTTAGACATATCGGTAATGTTACAATGTTCATAAGTTGGTGCATCATTGTCCATTACAGCTGTTGAATTGAACGGTTCTGAAGTTGTAGTAACTGACATGTCGGTAATGTTACAATATTCATAAGTTGATGCATCATTGTCCATTACAGCTGTTGAAGTTAACGGGTCTGAAGTTTCAGTAACTGACATATCGGTAATGTTACAATATTCATAAATAGGTGCTGTAGGAGCAATGCCTACTTATATAATATTAATATAATTTAGGGTAACTCCAATAATAAAATAAACACATTAGGTAAATAAGTGGACTGTATAATTAAATAACAAAAAAAATCACACTGGTAATAAAACAATATAATAGTATCTCAATATTACAATATATAATAAATAATGGTTTATGAATAGTATAACTGAGTGGTGCACCACGTACCTTAAATATGATTAAGATGCCATATGGTGCCCAGATCCGTATATAATAGTTTAAATAAGTTACAATAAAAATAACAGGTTGATCTGGCACACTCACATAACACCGCTAAACATACCACGAAGAATTAACTATTAACCTGCAGCCAATAAAAAAAGAGCAGCCGAACCATACGAACGAACAAAACCACGAGGTGATCACCAATAACGATTAATGTATAAAAAATGACCTCCAAATATAAAAAACCGTTATTCACCGAATAATAAATAACCACGTGGAGATGATGAGGAATAATGGCCGCATAAGTAATATAACCGAATACCGAAAAATATAAAAGAGCAGTAAGCACACAAGTTGCTGCTTCGAGAGCACCGAAAAGAAAGAAAAAAGAAAAATGGTACAACGGACCATACCGAATAGAAAAAGATAATATGAACGTAGGAACGATATTTAGTGCCATACACACAATTATATAAAAACAAAGCAATCATTGTATATTTGGTGACATTGATACAATGATTGCAAAATAAATATAGTACCCAAAAATACTAAATAACGTTTTGAGATAATAACAAGCATAATAGTGATAACCGACACTGATTATGGTCAACGTCAACAGCTTGTGAGCGTGAACAGGTGCATCATTATCCATTACAGCTGTTGAATTAAAGGGATCTGCTATTTCAGAAACTGACATATTGCAAGAATCTAAAAAAAATAATTATAAAACAACATTAGTAATTAATTAATTAATTAAAAAAAAAAATTCATAGGCATGCTTTTGTATATATTTCAAACTAATAATTTAAATTACATAAATGTATAGTTATTTTCAAAACATACTATAACATTTAATTTAATTAATTAAGCATGCTTTTGTATACATTTCAAACTACTGATAATTTTAAATTACATAGCTAATCTCAATAAATAATATAACCATTTATTGTTTTTAATACTTACTTACTTAAATTTCAAATAAAATATAGATGAGACCACTTGAACATAAACGAACAGATTTTAAAACAATGTTTTAAGAAATTGTTTGATGTGAAGAATCAATAAAAATTATTTCTATAAAACATAAATATATAATATCATATTTATTATATACTAAAACTATCCAGAGGAGTTCTGCTTGCATATTTAATATTTATTGTATATAATTAAAAATTCTGCAAGTTAACAAATAACAGGGCAGTATCACCTCTGGATGTGTGATTTTTATAATAATAAATTGTAATTAAGTTTTTACCTGGTAGATTAAGAGTTGGAATTGAACCATCAACGAGTTTCTTAAAACCAGGGCTCTTACAACTAACATCAAAACGTCTATCACACATAACATAAGATTGAAAAATTTGTTCAACAGTTTTGTTCAATAGTTTATTGTTTCCAGTTCTTTCAAACCATATGTCACAAGTTTCCTTGTTCTTCGGGAAGCGATGTCTAAGAATACTTTTATTGTCGTGCGTAGTATCACATCCAATGACCATACACCGATTTGAAGGCATATTTGAAATTAGTGGACAGCACGAAGGAACGAAAATTGAAACTCTGGACTAGAGACACAGTTGCACGAGCTAGTTTCGGGTTCGCGATATCGGAACTATCTATAATAAGGCACGTTTTAAGTCAGTTGACGTGGACAGCACGAAGGAGCAAAAATCGAAACTAGGGAGTCGGGACACAGTTGTCAGCGGTGCAACTCGTTTGCGCACAATCCAAATTGTTTACCTAGATATCGATGACTCGTTTGCGCACAACTAATACCGTCGTTAACCTAAAAACGGACGACTCGTTTGCGCACAATATAAACACTGCATAACATAAATTTTATATTTTTAAATTTGGACTTACCTAAAGTAATTGATTATCGGTACAAATTATCAGTACAAATGACCGGCATATCAATATTAAATATATCATTAGCCATTATCATCATTGAAAATAATCGACGTGTATTAAACATAATATTTTTGAGCAGTCGTTCGCCAGAAAGCGGTACTACCTATAATGACTAGTGACTATGGATATCGAAATTTGTGATATTTTTGAAACGCGTCGAGGTAAAAAGTGTATAAATATAGATAGTTATAAATTTAGAGAATTTCGAACTTTAAAATCTAGTGTTACACATTTTAGGTGTGCAAATAAAAAATGTTCCTTGAGTGATGTAGTAAGGTTAGTTAATAATAAAAAAAATAAAAAATTTTAAAAATGACAAACACGCATAGAACTTCTATTACTTCTTATTAATTGTACAATTATATATTTATTCAGAACAGACACACACGACATGCACTTTTTTAATCACGCCTGTACAAAACAGATGGTCCTAAGCCTATATTAAAGTAAGAAGGGAAATGTGCTGTCCTGCTCAAAGTTAAATGTGCGCAAATGAGTTGTACCTTTATAATTTAAACCCAAAATATGTGTGCGCAAACGAGTTGTGATTTTGTGCGCAAACGTGCCGTAAAAAAGGTAAATGTGCGCAAACGAGTCGCACCCGTTGTCAGTTGCACCTTGCACGAACTAATTTCGGGTTCGCGTTATCAGAACTATTTGGAAGGGAATATTGTGGTGATAGCTCACCAATAATTAAATCACAATATCAGTGTTGCCTATGTTTGGGAAATTTGGGAATTTTGCGGAGAATGGTAGTTGTCAGAAAAATGATAAGAATGGTAACCCGGCGGTTAGATATTATGGTTATACGACAACAAGAGTGTTGCCAACCTTGTAAGATTAAAAATAATTTATGTGGTCCGACGTATGCTGTTTTTCAAAGCCTTTGACCATCACAAAATAATTTTGGTGAAAAGAAGACCACGTGAATAATGAGTAATGAATATTATGACTTATGAGGTATGACCATTCACCATTATGTATTTCTGTAATCATGTAGGAGTAGGTAAGTACAAAATGC